TCAGGCTCAAGCCATCCCCTTCCTTCAGCACCTCAAGTAGCTGGAACTACAGGCACCTGCCTGGCTAATTTTTCTATTTTTAGTATAGATGAGGTCTCACTCTTGCTCAGGCTGCTTTGGAACTCCTGAGCTCAAGCAATCCACCCACCTCGGTCTCCCAGAGTGCAAGATTACAGACATGAGCCACCAGGTCTAGCCAAAATTTTAACTCACTGTAAGTAAAGTCTTCCTCTCGCCTTCACTTTGTATGCAGCACGAGACGCCGCTGACCTCCTTTTTCAGACTCTTACATTCACATTTTTGTGACATTTTTCTCTTAGACCTACCCCTCTAATTGCTACTTCTCAGTCGCTTTGCTTAAGCTACTCCTTAAATGTCAGCTGATTACAAGGCTGTGGCCTCCCAGTCTTTCCTTGTTCTATTCAGACTCTTACAGTAATTTCAGCCGCTGTATAATTCCCACCATCTCCTCTAGACAGACGAGTCCCCTCTACTTCAATATCTTCAGCTCTGTCCTCCCTTCTGATTTCTAGACCCAAATTCTCAACTGTCGAGGGTAAGAGACCTCAACCCTCACTTTTCGTGTCAAGTTTAACATACATGAAACTGAATGTGTTTACATTTCTCTCCGTCTGAGTAGCCCCTGTGGTACCACAGTCATCCACTTAGTTAGCTCTATTAGTTTCCTAGGACTGCTGTAACAAACTACCACAAACTGGGTGGCTTAAAACAACGGGTATTGTTCTCACACTTCTAGATGCCAGAAGCCTGAAGTCCAGGCTGGTCCTCCTGAAGGAGCAGAGGGGGAGTCTGCTCCACACCCCTCTCTCAGCTTCCAGTGGTTGTCAGTGATCCCTGGTGTTTCCTGGCTTATAAACATGTTGCTCCAATCTCTGCCTCTGTTGTCGTCTGGTGTCATCTTCACCTGACCTTCTCATAAGGACTCTAGTCATTGCATTAAGACCCCACCACACTCCAGAATGACTTCATCTTAAAATAAGTAACTACATCTGTAAAGTAATGTATTTCCAAATAAGATCACATTCTGAGCTTCCAGGCGGGAGTGAATTTTGGCATATACTATTTAACGTATTCCAGTGGGCAAATTTGGAGTTTCATACTGTATTTTAACTTAACTTTCTCAAGTTGTACTTCCTTCTTACGACAGCTAATTTATCTTCTTTCTTTTTTGATGATTTTGTCTGAAGGGTAGCTAATCATGTCCCTTTTCTGCTTGGAATTCTGCTATCATTCCCCATCAGTATCAGCTGACATTTCAAGCCATGTTACAGTATATTTATTGTATTCCGTAAAGCAGCAATGAATGTCTTCCTAAGTCTGTTTCCTTTTCCTAAACATCTTCCCTTATATTATCAGCGTATCATTCCTCGTTCACGATTGAACTCAAATATCACCTCTCTGAACTCATTCTTGACGGCCACCTACCTGTTTTACCACGATCATCAAAATTAGTCATTACTTCATATTATATTAAAGCAAGAATCTTAAAGCAAAGAATATATTATCCTGGAGTATACATAAAAACTTTCTAAGAGTCCTACAAACACAAATAGTTTTAAAAGAACCCGTTTGAGGATTCACATCATATATATTTTATTTCCTTACATTCCAGGGTACAACTGCAGACCAAAAATACATTTTCCTATCTCACATTTCACTGTGGACATTTTTTCCCCACATAATGGAGAGGAAAAGGCCAAATTCTCTCCCATCTCAATCTTACTATGAAGCATTTTCCTGGAGGGCAAAAACTTCTATGGCCACGCTTGTCAATTATATGATTTTTTATTTTGCCTATTCCTCTGAAAAGAAGACTATTTCCATAATTCTTTTCTTTTTCATCAACTTAAAAAGAAACCATTTTCTCCATACCTTTACAAAATATTACAAAATAATTCTTTTTCTAGCAATAACTAATCCTTTATTCTTCCATATAGGTACATAGAGTTTTAAAGTCTCATTCTTCTCAATAAATGATGACTACCTAATAAGACTTTCCTTCTATGTTTATCAAAATCTATAAAAATATCCTTAGTGTTTGCCAGATCTTTCATCATGAAATTATGAAGAAGAATTTTTTTTTTTTTTTGTAGTTTTGGCCAGGGCTGGCCTTGAACCCACCAACACCCTACACCCCTAGTATATGGGGCCAGCTCCCTACTGCTTGAGCCACAGGCGCCACCCTGAAGGAGAATTCTTTAAAAACATAACTATTAGCAATGTGAATGAGACATATCAAATACTGCTCACGTGGAGCATAGCCACTGGTGCCCTTTTCTACCCCCTTTGGTTTTTATCTCATCATACATGTTTCCTAATCTATACTTGCCTTTTTCTGTTCATTCAGAAAATTACCTAAAGAAGATTACATTCATAGATTCTGTGTATGTATAGGTAGAGGAGAAGAAAAGCCAGGATCCTAGCAAAGAAGCTGGGAAAAAGAAAAAGATAAAATAGACGGGAATATAAAATCTGACAATTAATGGGAGGCACCTGTGGCTCAGTGGGTAGGGCACTGGCCCCATATACCGAGGGTGGCGGGTTCAAACGCGACCCCGGCCGAACTGCAACAAAAAAATAGCTGGGCGTTGTGGTGGGTGCCTGTAGTCCCAGCTACTCGGGAGGCTGAGGCAAGAGAATCACCTAAGCCCAGGAGTTGGAAGTTGCTGTGAGCTGTGTGACACCATGGCTCTCTACCGAGGGCGATAAAGTAAGACTCTGTCTCTGCCAAAAAAAAAAATCTGACAATTAAGTTCACAAACTTATCCTAGAAAAAGTGCTACCTGCCTCACTGCTGAATGTCACTACTTTCGCTTTGAAGTCCTCCCCCTGAGAAGCTGTGCGCCAACACCAGCACTTAGTCCACCCTTCACAGCAATTACGGGAGCCTTGTCCTGGAACGACCCTCAGAGCTATTGTCATACATGTTCTGACAATTCAGTTAGTGAATTTCCACTAACACTTACATTGGTAACAACTTGGTAAGATTTCATAACATGGCTCTATCAGTGTCTCACAGCTGGGTTCGTGTTCACACGCAGAGATCGCTTGCTGAGAGGCATTTGTTATTATTGTCAGGTGTTTTTCTGTGCCATATAATAACAGCTCTGATGGTCATTCCAGAAAAAGAGTTCCAAAATTGCTTTTAAGGGTGAACTAGGTGCTGGTATTGATGTATAGCTTCCCAAGGGGAGCACCTCGAAGGTGACCATGGTGATTTCAGCAATGAGGCATGTGGCACTTTTTCTAGTATGAGCTCACAAACTCAATTATCAGACCTCGTATTAATGCTCCCATTAACATAAAAATAAAAATGTATAGTGTTTAAAATACAGATATATAGCTCAAATTCTGGCATTCTTTCTGATATGATTTTCAGCATTTTAACCATAAGTTCTCACAATACAAACTGGTATGATTAAGTGGCATTATGTGGTCAATTAGGGCTTATATACAACTAGGGAAAAGAAATAAATATCGTCCTTCAGTCTTGGGGCTTGTATTGGGCATTTGACAGTTTAGATATCTGACTTTATAGTTAACGATCCGTCAACCCTCAGCTTTGCTTTTTATAGATTTTTTTAAAGCACTGACACACATCAAATAAGTTCAAACAAAAGGTTAGAATAGCAGGTTTGTTTGTTCAATAAGCATTTATTAAAAGCCTACCTTGTGCGAGGTCTTGTGGAATATAAAGAAAACACACATCCCCCAGACTTGAGAACTTTACAGTCTATGATGAGGAGGAGGACATATCTCTTCAAGCATCCCACATGCACTGAGACCACCTAGCTCTCATTGCCAGAACTGTATTTCTTAATGCCTCCTGGGTATCACAGGCAAGCTCCTAACCCACAAGGTCCTACCAACACCTCGAACTGAACACAGACATGCTCAAACAAATCATTCTGGACTCAAAGACTCCACTGTGGAAGTGAGATGGAAAGGGCAGATAGAGACCTGTGGAAATAGGAGTGAATAGAGGGGCCTGTGTAGATCCAAAATCAGGAGGAAGGTAGAGAGTGGGGGCTCTGCGCACACTAAGTTATACCCGATACTCCGTACTGTTCTGTACATTTTCTTATGAGGGAAGTTCATGAAAACACATCAGCTCTATTATTTTCCTATTGCTGCATAACAGATGCCACAAACTTACTGGCTTAACATGACACCTGTCTATTAGCTGTCAGGTCTGTCAGTCAGCAGCCCAGGTGGGCTGGGCCAGGTTCTTTGCTTTCATAAGTCTGAAATCAAGATGTCAACCCGGCCAAACCAGATTCTCAATGGGAGGCTGAGGAGAAAAGATCTTCTTCCAAGCTCATTCCTATTATTGGTAAATCTCAGTTCCTTGTGATCATAGCACTAAGACACCTGTGTTCTTCTAGCCAGCTAGCCAGGGATCATTCTCCACCTCCTAGAAGATCCATGCAGCACTTAGCAGGCAGCCCCCTCAGATAAAATCCCTTTTGCGCTTCAAATCTCTGACTTCCTGCTCTGTCAGCAGCTGGAGAAAGTCTCTGCTTTAAAAGCTCCTGTGATTAGCTCAGGCCCTATATAATCTCCCTATCTTGAAATCCTCTCTGCCATATAACATGAACTAATTCTGGGAGTAAAACTCACCACATTCACTGACCCCAGGAGTATGCCAGGGATGTACACCAAGGGGCAGGAAACCTTGGGCCATCTTAGATTTCTGCCTGCCTTGCCAGCTCTAACTGTACTTCTAGTGACACAGGGTAATGACAGTCAGCAACATCGAGTGTGGTTAGGAATTCTTGTGGATTCCAAGTTTTCAATGACAAATCTGGATTCCACCATCACTATTTCCCTTCAACTTAATTTCTGAATTGCTCTATTGACTTGTAAAAAGAGACAGTTAATAGCTTTGAATATGGAAGGAAGATAAAAAGACTTAATCCCTCTTCTTCATAGGAGGTACTTCAGGGCCCATCTCTATCACTATTTTTTTCCTTTTTTAGCCCCGAAAGCAAACCACCCAGAGCCCCTGTTATAAATAAGTATGCTGATGCCCAGCTACACAACCTGGTGAAAAGAATGCGTCAAAGAACAGTCGTCTACAAGAGAAAGTTGGGAGAAGGAGATCTGTCTTCACCTGAAGCCAGCCCACAAGCTGGTAAGCATCATTCCCTCAAGGTCCTAAGAAGGAAGAAGTTATGGGAGGACATGTATTTTGCAACTATTTCAGGGTCCCCCTCCCAAAATAGACCCTGAGGCAATGATTTAGGGACAAATAGTTTATTTTGAAAATGATCCAGGAAGGTGGGTGTGGAGGAGAAGGAAGTTAGGACAGTAAAGATGCATTAGGAAGAGGGCCATCGCTGTGGTTGGTGGAGCTTGCTCCAGCTGAAAAGTGGTGTGGATCACACCTAAGAATTATCCTTGTGGAAGGGGAAGAAGTTGGTTGGTGCTGCTGTTAACTCCTCAGCACTTTGGGTAAACTTGCTCAGGAACATCCTCAGATGGAGACACAGGGAGCCCTCTGCAGGTGACCTCCTGGCCCATGGCATATACATGAGCCACCAACAGTACCTGCTATAGTAAGTTTCATTGGAAATAGTAAGAACACTCATAATATTCAACGTGTGCATTATAAAAATATAAGAATACTACTTGTGTATCCAACAGAGAAAAGGACATCCTCTAACCAACCACAAGGGGGGAGACGATTATCAACCTTCCTAGTAAGGACAAAAATGTTTAAGCGAAAAAAATAAGTGCAATAAAGCACGAAAATGATGTATTCTATGATCATGTCTATGTAAAATATTTATATGTGTGTAGAAAAAGAATAGAAGATAAGAATAGAATGTAAAACATTTATATGTGTGTAGAAAAAGAATAAAGATTTCCTCCTGGTTCTACATGAGGGAAAGTAGGTTTTCAAAATAAACTATGTACTATGTAACAGTTTCTATTTAAAGAGGCTAAAATAAATCACACTCATTATGTTTGATAAAAATATGTTGAAAACAATATTTTGAGCTTTATTTACCTGTAACGTGAAGAACAGGTGTGAGGATGAAGCAGCTCCGATCTAAACCCTGTAGGATGATGTGCATTTGTCATGTTTCTGATGTGGGTAGATGGGAAGCCCTGACCGTATTTATGCTCCAAAATATGTGAGAAGTGAGGTTATAATTAAAATATTCTATTTGACACTTGTATTCCCAAGTTCCTTTGTTTTCATTACTTGCACATTTTCATAAACATTAAGATTTTATGTTATTTTTGTCATATATTTATGTATACAACATGACGCTTTGTTTTATGTATATTTCATTTACATACAGTGGGCACCACAAAAATGTATACATATTTTAAGAAAGGAAAAAAGACTAGGGTTTTTTTTATGTTTAATTTTTTAACACATTTTTTCTAATTTTTTTATTTTGGTAAGATACACATAACATCATAACATAAAATTTACCCTATTAATTATTTCTAAATATATAGTTCCAGGGGATTCAGTACATTCTTACTGTTGTGCAACAGTTGACATCTACCCACAGCACTTGAAAAAAGAAACTGTATTAAATTTGTAATACTCGCTGAATGTGGTGCCTCACAGCTATAATCCTAGTACTCTGGGAGGCCGAGGTAGGAGGATCCCTTGAGCTCAGAAGTTCAAGACCAACCTGAGAAAGAGTGAGATCCTGTCTCTACTAAAAAACAGAAAAATTTGCTGGGCATCCTGGCGGGTGCTGGTAGTCCCAGCTACTGTGGAGGCTGAGGCAGAAGGAAAGCTTGAGCCCAAGAGTTTGAGGTTGCTGTGAGCTAAGATGACGTCACAGCATACTACCCCCCCCAAAAAAGGGGGGGTGACTTCTGCAATTACAAGTGGTACCTATTGTTCTTGGCATATATTGAATATTACAATTTTAATATTGGTTTTCCTTTCTTAAAATGTATACACATTTTGGCATCTTCTCTACAAGTTAAAATAAATGTCACCACATTCAAATGTCATGAAGATTTTTTTTTTTACCTCATCTGCCTATATCGAAGGGAAAGATTCTTAAGTGTTCCCACTTTAAGAAATCTAAAGGTTTTGCATTTTAAGCTAATTTAACCTCTAAAAATGATTTCCTCTTTTCTGTCCTGTAAAGCAAAGCCCACAGCTGTATCATCAGCACAAGAAAGTGATACTAAGCTACCAAAAGAACATTACCACAGCCTGCTGTGCTGCCGATTCCAGGAGGTGCCTCTGACGGAGTACCTAAAGCGAATTAGGCTTCCAGAAAGTATAGATTCGTACTCAGGTACCATCAAAGGGCGGACTATCCCAGTAGGAGGACTGGCTATCACCAAGAACCCCTGCGATCCAAAGTCATAGACAGCTTCTGGTTTTCCTAGCCCATATTCTGACTCTACCTAGAAATCAGAATTACAATTATATAATCTGCAAAGGGTCCATTTGCCCCTCTCCAGTGAAGAATTAAAATATTCATGCTATATTTAAAAGAAAGTCTGGGGCATGGCCTGCTCTAATTATCTTTGAAAAGAAGGCCCCCAAGTGCTCAGTAGTATGTACCGAACACCAGGGAAAAAAATCATTATGACTGTGCCTTCTTCCACGGCATCATCTTGGGGAACGCATCTAATTGAACTCATCCCCTCCCATGGCCTCCTGTGGCAGAAGAAGGCCATGTGTGAAGGGACATGGACTTGATGGGCTGATTCTCTGTCCCCACTCAGTCCCATTCCCCTTCCTGCCCCTTCACTAACCACCTGCTGCTGCTGAGCAGTGTCCCTCTGACTTTTCTTGGGGGTCTCGTTTCTTGATCCAAAGCGCAGTTACCCAGGCGACAGATTCAGAATGGCTGCTTTTCTAGGAGGCCACTGTTCATAGAGTTGACAAGGTCACTTGAAATCTCTCATTAAGCCCGATGCTCCCTTATCTAGAGGCTGAATCATGCTGGATGTTTCATAGAGCCTTGCATAGCAAATTTCTCATCTCTTCGGGGTAGTGCCCCAACTTTACCAAACTAAGCAAGATCATTCTTCTCATGCTCGTTTCATGCCGTGTGGATCACTCCTGTCGCTGTTTTTCTAGATCGATTCTACCTTCTGTGGCTTCTTCTTGTCACCATTGCCTACAACTGGAACTGCTGGCTTATCCCACTGCGCTGCTTCTTTCCCTATCAAACACCAGGCAACACATGCTACTGGCTCATCACAGACGTTACGTGTGATCTCATCTACCTGTGTGACATGCTCTTCATCCAGCCCAGACTCCAGTTTATAAAAGGAGGAGACACAATAGTAAGTGGGGTTTCAGAAAAGCAGAAACTTTCAAATGAATGATAGCTAATTGGACTATGAAAAAATAAGTTAGCAATTTTTTTTTATTTAATGTTTGGCCAGCACTGCAATTTGAGCCTATAATTCTAACACTCTGGGAGGCTGAGGCAGGAGAATCACATGAGTTCAGGAGTTCAAGACCAGCTTGAGCAAAAGCAAGACCCTGTCTGGACTAAAAACAGAAAATTGGCCAGGCATCATGGTAGGTGCCAATAGTCCCAGCTACTCAGGAGGCTGAGGCAGGAGGATCACTTGCACATAGAAGTCTGAGGTTGCTATGAACAAGGCTGATGCAAAGGAATCTACCCTGGGCAACAGGGTGAGTTCTGTCTCAAAATAAATAAATACATGAAATAAAATTAGAATAACAACAGTACCCTTACAAGGTTGATAGGAAGACTAAATGAATTTAGTCCTGTGTCAGTCATTATTGTTCTAGCTAAATTATTTATAACACTTCACTTAATTCTTCCAATAGCACTATGAAAAAGATGAGATTAGCCCTATTTATAAATGAGAACGATGAAGTTTGGAAAGAATAGGTGATTTGCTCAAGGAATAAAGCTAAAAACTAGGCGATCCAGGATTCAAACCCAGGGCTTGACTTCAAAACCATCTTGGCTCAGGTTGGTGAGTTTTTCAGAATTTGACAATATTTGAGGATACAAAGAGGGTACCAGATCTGAAATGGTGAAGCCATATCATCTTTTACCTAAATAATGTTTTTAGAAATGTCTCAATTATCCACGAAGAAACAATTTAATATATATTCCTCTAGTAATGAAGCCTCATACTGTCTGTGAGACCATTGTTTTCTATTATATTATAGTCTGCCATTCACTTCAATATTTTAGTGGGTATTTTAATATTCAACATTAAAATATTCAATGTTTTAATGAGATGGGTATTATTTCATTCATCAGACACCTTCCAGTCTATTCAGGCTTCTTAGTAAACAGCCCAGTGTTGTGAGAAAGGATCGGGCTGTAAGATTTTTAGGAAGCAGACTATAGCTTGTTTATCAATTGTATAGTTGGCGCCACACATGGCGCTTGCACATAGAAAGAAATCGAGTCCCAGCTTACAGACCTGGACACTTTAGGAAGAAAAACAAAGCTATCATGACTCTTTTAATCCCTGCACAATCACTGCAATTTCCAGTATGGTGAACACTAGGTACATACGTCTCTTAAAATTAAAATTTTAATTAATTGCAATTAAATTACATTAAAAATTCAAGGTGGGAGGGTGGGTGGAGGGAGGGTAATTGGTTGGATCACACCTATGGTTCATCCTATAAAGGTACGTGAATCTCTCTAAATGTAGAATATAAATGTCTTAACACAATAACTAAGAAAAGGACATGAAGGCTGTGTTATCCAGTTGGATGAAAGTATTTTAAATTGTATATAGAAACAGTACACTGTACCCCATGATAGTATTAATGTACACTGCCATGATTTAATAAATAAATAAATTACATTACATTAAAAAGTCAAGTTTCTCAGACACACAATCCATATTTCCAACATTCAACAACCACATGTGGTTAGCAGCTATCACATCAGACAATACAGAAAACTTCCACAATCCAAAATATACTATCAGATATCCATGAGGGAATGAGAGAGCAATGAGCTATCAATCATTTCCAGCAAGAGAGCCAAACCACAGAGAGGAAGACACCCCCTCTTCCAGGCAGGTGCAAGTCACAGCATGCAGAGCACTGCCACTGTTGTTTGGTTTGGCTTTTTAATGATTATGGTATCTACTGGTCTGTCTTCTTTTCATTCTTTGCTTCCAAATTCATCACAACCCATTTCTCATGATCAAATGTACTGCTCTACCTCAAAGACTAGCATTCTTACCCTTAGAGAAATTATCTTCTCCCAGATTTATTCGCAGTGTTGAGGGAATTTCATAGTCAATTTAATCAAAGGAAGAAACAAGCACATACCCAAGTCTCATGGCCTCTCCCCCTCAACCCTTTTCCCAGCTGACTGGAAGGATGCTTCCTTTCCAGCTGCTGCTGCTGTGACATCCTCCTCACAAGTCCCAGTGAGGGCAGCGTGGAACACGTCCTCCACTGTCCCAATAGAAAGAGCAGACTGGCCGAGTACATGACACATTAGACTCATAGATATTTTCGTAGAAGATAAATAGGTGCCTTAATCTCTCTGAGTATTTTGTTTTGAATCTCGATAACTCAAAGTATCAAAGAAATCTGAAAGGAGTAGTTTTAGTTATTTTTTTCTCTTAAAAAAGTGTTATTTTCAGGCCTGTTTACTATATTTGAAATCTTTCCTAGAAAGAAATTCTAAAGGCAAGAGCCAAAGCTGTAGCAAAAATCTATTCAAAATAGTCCTTGCGAGGACTTCAGCGCATTAGTTACCTGGCCGGCACTATCCCCAGAGCTCCCTGGCAGTTTGATGAATGATGATGATGGTGTGCAAATAAGAAGTAAACAATAACAACAAAGAGAACACTAATTTCAACCTCCATTAGGATGCACAAGGGGGGAGAAAATCAATGTTTGACAAATGGAAAATGACAAAATCAGTAAGGGGAGACTTTTATTTTCAATTTTCTAAGAGGCCTTTGCACACAACGGATGGTTAAAACCAAGAAAAATAACAAATGAAAACTACACTCAGTGGGCTCTATTTAAAATGCATTATCACGAGCTCCGAATATAGAGCAGGAAATAATTACTTTTTGTTCAGAAGAAGTTTAATGGTTTCTTTAATTTAGAGCAGGTAGTTTTAGTCTTTGAAACTTGATTACATTTTGGTAAGACTATGGACATTGATTACCCAAGCTGAAGGTCTCACTACATTTAGTTATCCATGCTATTACTATTTGTGTGCATGGACAAATTATTGGTTCACTCATTCACTCATTTATTCAACAAACATTTCTTAAATACCTACAGTTGCCAGTAGGTATACCTACATCCTTTATTTATGAAATACTTACTGTGCCACACAAATACTTACTTGTGTGACTGGAGGATGGAAATGTTAATTTCCCAAGGCCTTGAGAGAAAACAAACAAGTGGCAGACAGCAGATTGAGTTGTTAACAGCCACGACAGAGGGAACAAAGGACACACAAGTTTACTGGATGTCCACAGTAGTTTATTTATGCCTTTCTTACGGAAGTGGTTCTACATAGAGGACAGAATTTTGAACCTAGGACCAACCAAAAAAAGTCTTTTCTGTATGTTCCTTTATAGATAGCATAAACCAAATTGGCAGTGACAGTAGAGATCATTGACATAGGACACTCACCTACACAACTCTGTCGTAGCCCCACCAAACACAAGGACTCCTGGAAAGGCTCAGTGACCTCTATAAACACTGTCAACTAGGTCTTCCTTGCAGTGTTTTTCAACATTTTTTATCTCACAGCACACTTGAACCTGTACTTAAACTTCCACAGCACACTTAAATTATGTTGATAATATATACATATATATATATGTATTTTCTGTGCTTTGAACTTCTTCTGAAAATAATTTAATTAATGATCTTTAAAAATGTTCACAGCACACCTCAGATCTTCTCACAGTACACCAGTGTGCTATAGCACACCGATTAAAATCACTACTTTATGGGCCACTGCTTTTAACATTTCATCCTCTCAATTCCTGTTTATAAACTGATCTGAAGAAAAAAATCAACTAGTTCCTTCTCTGTCCTCCATTATCCTTTATTCATAATTCTGTTATCTAATTTTGTTAAATATTGATTTGGCTAATTATGAGGCAGAAGAAATAAACAGACCATGGTCAAATTCCACTTCTAAAATTTGCTAACAGCATTAACTTGAAGAGAATACCCTTTCATTGAATAAAATCTTTTTTGACCTGAAAAATGAGAATAGTAACACCTACCTCATAAATCTATCATGAAGATGAATTAAGACAGTGTATGGATCTAACCCAAATCTGTGGAGAGTCCATGCAATGACGTAGCTCTCTTTCTTATCTGAAAATAAGTTTCTTGAAAGTAGGGACAGTATTCAATTCATTTCTCTATCTATCCTAGGAACTGAACGATTATACTCAAGAAATGTTTGAAGGAGTAAAAGAATGGTAATTTTGGTTCAAGAATTTTCTCTCTTTGAACAATCATTTAATCTGCATGATAGCTGTCTTAGATGTTATTATCTCTACAATATTTCTATCTGATGTAAAATTATAGCATTTCTATGAATTGTTTACCAGAAAATTAGTGTTAATAAGTAAATATACTAACACCTGGGGAAAGATCTTCTTCAAAAACTATCTGTTGGAAAGGATTTAGGTGCACTGAACATATTCTTCCTAAAGGAAGCCTACCCCAGAGAAATGTCACCTGAATTCCCACGGATAATGGTGAGGTTTAAAAGAGGGAGAGAGAATTAAAACGGATGACATTTTAAAACTAAGTGCCCAATTGTTACCAGTGAGCATGCTGATCCTCATAAGGCTAATGATGTCAAATTTATTTAGTACTCTTAGGAGAGGTTTTAAAATCACTAGATGGTGTACCATTTAATCTAGCAAGCTTTAGTTGCGTTTACATTTATTCAATCATAAGATCATAGACAACCCTGAAAGTAATCAGGTAAATGTTCTACAAACATTCTTACTGGATGTGGGGAGGAGGTAGTATTTTACCTTCACTGCCCACCACTTGAAATGTATCTGTCTGTCTTATATAAGCTTTGAAGGAAGTGACTGATTTTACTCAAGCTTGATGTATTATTTACATGGTATAAGGCAATCAACTGTGGCTCAGTAAGCCATTTTGTTCACATTTAAAGTCATTAAATGAGCAAGTCATATATTTTCTAACATATTTCTCTAAAGCTTAAAATGTGTATATGAGTAAAAATTACAGTAAAAAAAAATGGGGCAGGATTGACTAACCAGTCTTTAACATTGCTCAGCAGTAGTTTTAAATTTCTGAACATGGACAAGCTGGATGGTAATCGTTATGTCAATTAATTAAGAGCACTTAGAAAATCTCTTTCTATGTACATCTAAAATATAACTATACATCAAATAGTAGCATTAACTCTCTTGATATGAATATTAACAAATGCCACCCTATTCATCTATCACTTATCACATATTTATTGTGCACCCACTATGTGTTAGACATTTCATTAGAAACTAAGGAAACAGAGGGCAAAGATATGGACCCTACTGTCTCAGGTGAATAACTCAGAGTATGAAGGGCAAAGAAGAATGGTGGGATTTTACATTGTGAGTCATGACGGATGTGCACCCCGGGTGCTATGAGGCTCACAGAAAACTGTGTGAAGGAAGGGTCTAAATTTTGATGGATGAATTAGGGTTACCTGCATCCTTCCACTGCTTCCCCTTAAAAAGGAAAAACATGTTTTGAGCTCTGGGAACATGAAGGGCAAAGACATCAAGGTGAGAAACACTGATACGTTTGAGGAACTGCTGACCAGAGTGGGTGTGGGATGCTCCAGAGGCGAGTGGGACACAGACAGGAGAGCCTGGTATATCATGAAAAAGAGTTTGGATGTTTTCATTAAAATCATGACTTATGAGTTATATGACTTGATATAAATAGGGATTGTTAAAAGATCAGAGTTATAGAAACCATTTGGCTGCCATTATAGGCTGGATGATCAAGGGGGATAAAACTAAAGGTAGAGATACCAAACACCAAAGGAGAGAATGGACATAACGAAATACTAGGAGGAGGAGTCAGTAGAACTTGGATGCTGGTTGGAAGAAGGCTGCCGAGGGAGATTGTAGGACCACTAACCAGTGAAGACAAGGATGCTCATAGGATACCCAAGAGGAGCACACCTAGTCTTAAGGGGGAAGGAGAATCATGATGAACCCAGTTTGAAACTCTAAGGGAAGAAGACAATGGCCGTTGCTTACATGGATCAAATAGCTCAAGACAGTGATTTTAGATGGAGGTAAAGATTTGGCACCATCAACACACATGGTGATCTTTGAAACTATTTCAAAAAATGGGTAATATTTCCCAGGAAGCTAGTATAATGAAAAAAGAAAAGACAATAACTTTTTTTTTTTCAGACATGGTCTTTCTCTGTCACCCAGGCTAGAGTGCAATGGTATTATCACAGCTCATTGAAGTCTCAGAATCCTGGGCTCAAGCAACTCTCTCATCTTGCTCTCCAAGGAGCTGGGGTTATAGATGCATGCCACCTCACCTGGCTTTAGTTAGTTAGTTTAGTTAGTTGGAGACAGAGTCTATCTACATTACCCAATCTGGTCTCAAACTCTTGGTCGCAATCAATCCTCTCACTGAGGCCTCCCACAGTGCTGAGATTACAAGCGTGAGCCACCACACCCAGCCATTCGTTAACTTTTAAACAGCCAACCGGAGTCCAAGACCACTAAAAAGTTGGAACTGAATAAGTAAACCAGTGACATTAAACGTTCTTTGCAAAGACAAAGTTTCAAGGATAAAATAGTCCTAAAAAGTTGCATGTTTCATCTTTTCCTGCCTGTATCTATTTTTCACTTAATTAATATTTGTGGATTCTTAGTATATTCCAGGACTAGTTAGGAACAGTTGCCAAACAAAATTGAACTGTCCTCAGATAGATTACCATTTAGTGGAGTAGAATAATTTTAAACAAATGAGCCAAGAAATATAGGTGTATTTTAAAAATACAGTGAGTGCCATGGAGGGATACTAAGTGTCCCCTTAAGGGATACTAAGGGTCCGCTAGGTGTAGTCATTAAGAAGTTATTGGTGCTCTTTGCACTGTTAACCTTAATGAAATGAGGGAAGGAGGAAAAAGCCAAATTGTCACGGGTTAAGAATAAATATGAGGGGGGTGGGGAGGAGGCAAAAAAAAAAAGAATAAATCTGAGGGAAACATGTGGAATAAAGCCATGTAGTGACTGTCTTGAAAAGCTTGACTATGACAAACAATAAGGAAAACAAAGCCAACAAAAACAAAAAGAAAACAAAAGCCAAAGTAATTATTTTGTTTTAAAATGTGAGAAGATTAAAAAAAAAAAAATGTGAGAAGATGGAACATATATTAGAGGCTGAGGTTAGAAGAAACCAGTAGAGAGAAATTGCTTTTAAAAATATTAACAAAGTGAGAAAATAATTGATGGAATTGACTAAAATTGATTGACATAAAAACATATTAAATATAAATATATTTCAGGTGGATTCAAATGAGCTAAAGAGACACTACAGGAGTTCTACAAAATTTCACGTAGGTAATGTATAATTTCCGAATTGTTCAAGTAATCTCTTATCATTTTGACTTTAAATTCCATCCTCAGATTTCTTTAAGCAAATCATCTTCCTTTGTAACAAAACTCATACAGATAAAGTTTGATTAGAAAAAGATAAGCCTGAAGTTTCTGCCTCTCGCTAATTACATGATACATTTCTTTGTATGTGCAAATGGGTAATTCAATATATGGGTCTTTATTAAGCAGACCAAATTAAGTTAGTGTCTATATTTAAATTTTGGTTTAAATACCAGTAAAAGAGCATTGGGCATACTTTGTCTTGCCCATGGAATTCCTGCCTCCAATTCATGTAGCATAATGGTGTAAATGTCTGCAAAATTGTTTCTACTGCTTTTCCTTTCTTGTTCATACATGCAAAATAAGAAATAGAAAAGGTCAATTATTTAGATAACATGGACTCTTCCTTTATTCAAATAACAATATAACCTTATGGTTTGTTGCCCATAATTGTTTCCTAAGTATTTTCTTATTTGACTGAGAAATAGGAAACAGTTGGCGGTTATTCAAGGTTACCCAACATGTCTGAGTGAACTCTACCCTCCCACTTCAAGGATAACATTCCAGCCATCTCAAATTTTGCTTTAAAAGGTACAAATCTGGGTTTGGGTCCCAAACGATCTCTGTTGGAGATTTAGAATGATTAAAATCCCTTTCAATTTATTGTTGTTGTTTTACATTTTTTCACTTGGTTTTTTTATTAGATCATAACTGTGTACATTCATGCATTTATGGGGTACGTTGTGCTGATTTTATAGACAATTTGGAACGCTTACATCAAACAAATACAATCTTTCAATTTGTTTTTGTCTCCAATTTTCTTTGTAAAAAAAAAATGCCACATGCTTAGGCATATTCATGAGAGATTTACATTACTTTGATGAATTCTACACAGAGGATGACTATTCTTTGCAAATGCTAGAAAGCTGATTTCAAACTCTTACTTTCTTGAGTCTGAAAGGTGCTAAATTTAATTCATATTTGAATTCCTTCAGCATATCCCTACTATGGCATTTGCATTATAGTTACAGTCATGTGACACCCACATTTCGGCCAACAATGGGCCACATAAACGGGGCGATCCCACGGGTGACGACTGGGGAGGGAGATCAAGACCGCAGACTAGAAGGAGGCGGCACTCACCATTCTCAAGGAGAGGCCCAAGGGCGGCAGGTAGAGGTTCACCCGCGGAGGGACTGTCTTAAAGAAAGCATTAGGAATCATCAAGAAGCGACTGGAGACACCTAAAGTTGGGGACAATGGGGCAGAGTCCCCGGATCTGCAAGATCAGAAGGTAGGTGGAGGAAGCGTCGACATCCGAGAAGGGTTGGAGGAGCGATCCAAGGCGGTCCACACTTCCGCGGTGAACCTACAACCCGCGCTGCAAGGGGCTCCCCCACGACAATAGGCTCCCAGACTATCCCGCTGCTACTTGACGACTGCGCAGTAGCACTGCCCCAGGGTGAGCACGGTGGGGTCTGCAGCTTCTGGTCTAAGGTTACTGCCTCTGCAGACGCCACTCTGCACTGTCAGCCCCAGAGTGTCCGGTCTGCAGAGGGGTCAGCTCCACGCCAGCCGCCTCCCGGGTTATCCCGCCCACGCCAGGGAGAGAACCCAGAGGCAGGTGCTTTCATATGTACCGTGACTGGGTGCCTTGTGCTCCCCAAACATCCCTACCACCTGCCTCCCAGGCATCTGAACGGAGCAGGCGCCCACTGACCCTCAGCATCTGCCGGCCACTACCACCTTGCAGTTTCTATAGTGCCACCGCTGCCACCTGAGTTGCACTGCAGCAGCTGTCATAGACCTGGATGGAGGGCGAGCCCCAGACGCTGCAACTCCCGGCTGGCCACACAGGCCCAGCTCCTCAGTCCTGCCAGCTGCTGGTGGACTAACCACTGTGGCCAGAAGAGCCACCCCACTGCCAGCTATGGTTCCATGACCTTCCCAGGCACCCGTCAAGGATCCCCAAACTATCCAGGCAACCACCAAAGTCCCACAACCCGCAAAGGTACCTCAAAGATCTCAAAGCCTCCCCATCACCAGCTGCAAGGCTGTGACTACCCACGTGCCCAGGCAGGTCTCACAATATACTCAGGCACCTACCAAGATCCCACTATGTGCTCAGGTACCTACCACGGCCCGACCACCAGACCTGCAACCAGCTACAGTCCTGCGGCATGCCCCGGGGCCTACCAAGTTCCAACCGCACATGTAAGTACCTGTCAAGGTCGCACAGGCTGCCCAGGAGCTAAGCACTCAGACTTGCCTGGGCACACACCAAGGTCCCACAGTTTGCCCCACTGCTGGCTGCAGTTCTGTGGGGCATCCACCAAGTCCCTGCAGTCTGCCCAGGCCGCAAGCAAGGTCATGCCACCTGCCTCTATGGAAAGGACCTTCCAAACCCCCAGTAAAAGCTTCAAACAGTGGCCTGGGGACCATCCACCAACTGAAAAAGAAAGTCCCCTAGCACTGGTTTGGACGGTGGCAACCACAGAGAATGGAGCAATACAGGAAAACAGTTGCATTACCGGCTCTCGGTGTGTCCCCCTCCCCCTGAGTCATTCAGAAGTTGACAAAGAAGAATAGGATTGAAGAGAAAGCTGAAAACCAATGCAAAGAAATGAAACAAAACAAAACAAAAAATCTTACCTGTTGGGTACAATGAGCACTATTCTGGTGACAGGCACGATGAAATCCCCTGACTTCAGCATTATACAAGGTACTCGTGTAACAAAACCATTTGTACCCTTCAATATTTTGAAATTTTAAAAGATTATGATGGAGCTGAAAATTTTCTATCACCTAGTTACTTCACAGCCATCATAACATCACCACATAATATATCACCTATACATCTAATAAAAATGTCTAAAACATCAAAATAAAAAATTTTTAAAAACAGAAAAAAGCTTATAGAATAAAAATATAAAGAAAGAAAATATTTTTGTATGGCCGTACAATGCATTTGGGTTTTAAGCTAAATGTTACTACAAAAGAGTCAACAATCTTTTAAAAGATTTCCAAAGTTTCTTAAATAAAATAGCTACGGTCAGTTAAGGTTAATCAATCATTGAAGAAAGAAAGGTCTTTATTCATTTAGTGCAGCCTGGGCACACAGTGTCTACCGTAGTGTATAGAACATCAGAGGCCCTTATACTCACCACTGGCTCACCCAGAGCAACTTTCAGGACTGCAAGCTCCATTCATGCTAAGTGCCCTATGCATATTTGCCATTTTTTATCTTTTCTATGTTTTTTTTGTTTGTTTTGTTTTTGTTTTTGTTTTTGTTTTTTGAGACAGACTCTTACTTTTCACCCTTGGTAGACTGTTGTGGCTTCACAGCTCACGGTAACCTCAAACTCTTGGGCTCTAGCAATTCTCTTGCCTCAGTCTCCCAAGTAGCTGGGACTACAGGCACCTGCCACAATGCCTGACTATTTTTAGAGATGAGGTCTCACTCTGGTTCAGATTGGTCTCCAGCCTGTGAGCTCACAATCCACCCACCTCGGCCTCCCAAGTGCTGGGAGTACAGGCGTGAGCCACCGCACCCAGTCTCTTTTCTATCTTTAGATACACAAATATACACAAATACTTATCATTGCATTACGACCTAAAGTATTCCGTACAGTAACATGCTGAACAGGTTTGTAGCCTAGAGTAATAGGCTATACCACATAGCCTGGGTGTGCAGTAGACGATGCCATCTAGGTTCACATAAGTACACGCCATGATGTTCACACAACAAAATCACCTAATGATGTGTTTTCCAAAATGTATCCCCGTCATTAAGAAATATATGACTGAATTTTTGTAATCGGTTATTCCACTGTTAGATTGTTAGCTTCCTATGAGCAGAAACGACATCTTACTCCTATTTCAACCCAACCTGCTTTGTTATGGGCCTTGCGCCGAGGCTCGTGTCAGTCAATACTTCCTCCATTAAATTTTCTAAAACTCAGTGAGACGTAGATTATCTCTGTTTACGTAAATCCATGCCAGCATGTTAATTTTAAAATGACTAATGACTGGCTCCATAGAAATCTTGAGAAGGTAGTTGAGCCACTAAATAGAAAGTGAGGGAAAAGAATCTTCTGATTTGAGCCGAAGCCCAAATTTTAAGGCTACAATGGAGCCTGCAAGCTTCGTCCATGGTAGGTTAGCAGCCTAAAGAGGGAATAATCAAGTACACCCATGCCCAGTGGGTTCGGGGGTAGAACTAGAGAAGTCACCAGCTCTGCTCTCTGTCCTGTTGGCTTATTTGTAAGACTTTATTTTAGTAACTGTTCTGTATGCCTCTCAACTTGTTATGAGGATCAATATCTGTAGGGCAAAATCAATGAGGTTTGATGAGATGACGCAATTTCTAAACCAATACTTTCAGTAAGTAATTTGTTTGTAATAGCTAATCTGGATAATTCAAACCAGAAGTTCAATTCCCATTCAATAGCAATAGGCTTTGAAATTCTGTTACATAATTAATTACCTTAACTCTCCATTGTTTTATGTGTGACCTTATAATATCTTCTTAATTGTTCTTAACTGTCCTGAGATACCTTAAAATTTTTTAATATATTCTCTTTTTTAAGATCATGTAACATTTAATGAAAATGAATAATTATTCTACATAAAAGAATTTGGTCTTGCAATCAAGAAAGTATGCAACCACGGTATTGGCCCTTCATAATTATCAGGGTAATATAAAGGCCAGAATAATTTTAATATCTGAGAGCTAGTTTTTGAAATTGTTTGTAGCACTGATAGTACTTTAATACCTTCTCCCATCAAAGCTGCTGATTAAGTGTAAACAGGCTAATTTCTTTCCTCTCCTCTCTTAGCCTGCACAGTCTCTGATCGATACTTTCACAGCAGTTTATTGGTAGCAAAATGGCTCAAAGTAGACAGGAGTAGAAAGCACTGAAGAGCCTGGATGAACAACAATGTAATCAGCTCTGAACACTAGAGAATTGGCTAAAGCATAAAAATATATCACTACAATGAAAGTGCAATGGTTTCAAATAAAATCAAGAATGGACTTGATTTTCAGTCCAAAAGCCCCATGTTTAAAGCACTATTAAAATATACTTTAACATGAGCAACCACACCATCACTGAAATGTCTGTGACAGCTCAGTGAAAGTCCCAGCAGACGTAGTGCCTGAGGAGAGATGAGGTGCACGGAGGTGGAAACCAAGTACACCAGAGGTAGGCTACAAAGCAGTGTTCCTGTTTCCACGGTGCTAATGTGCCTTCCACTGTACCAGGCATACTTAACTGAAGGCAATTTTGAATTACACAATGAGTAATGTCTTGTGACTGGTCAACTTTTATAAACATCAGTGTAAATATATCCATGCCCCAAAAGCATGCAAGCACGACGTCATTGGGAATGTGTTTTTCCAACAGCTGGATGTCGCTTCCATCATACCATTTGATGTTTTTTGCCTCTTCTTTGGGTTTAATCCAATATTTAGAACAAATAGGATATTGAAGGTAAGATACGATATTTAACTGTCTTCTTCTTATGGTAATGAAAGCAATCTTAAAGTTGCAGTAAATATACTAAAATAGCAATGTTCTTTTTTTTTTTTTTTTGAGACTTTATCACCCTCGGTAGAGTGCTGTGGTGTCACAGCTCACAGCAACCTCCAACTTCTGGGCGAAAGCGATTCTCTTGCCTCAGCCTCCTGAGTAGCTGGGACTACAGGTGCCTGCCACAATGCCCAGCTATTTTTTGTTGCAACTCTCATTGCTGTTTTACCTAGCCCAGGGCAAGGTTCGAACCCGCCACCCTCGGTATATGGGGCCAGCACCCTACCCGCACTGAGCCACAGACGCCACCAATATTCTTATTTTTTTCCAAACTATCCTCCATCTTTCTGTTCTTATCAATGCTGTGAATTTTCTTAAATGAATGAAAGATAAATTCCTGATAGTAGTTGTTCCTCATTATTTCTATTATACAGGGTGGTCCTAAAGTTTGTGTGCAACTGAATATCTCAAAACAGATATTTCTAATCTAAAGCAGGAATGCTTTTGTACTTATAAATCTAACTATAATTACCAATCAATCTTTTATAATTTTAATTTTTTTGTTTGGCTTTTTTGAAGTTACCACATGCCTGGTATTTGGGCTATGAAATTAAAGTACAAGATAAGTTACTCCTAAATTGTCTACCCCAAATCCTATAGTTCTAGAAAATACACAGACATACTTTTGCATGACAAAATTACATATTCGAACACAACTCAAATATTTAAAATGGAATTTACTAAATATGCTAAGATATATCAATATAACAGAATACTTGTAGTTTTAAAAGCATAAAGAGCAAGTTTTCTGTGTGCTGATATGGAAAAAACTGTAAGATAAATTGTTAAGAGACAAAGCTAGTTACAGAACAGTTAATAGAACAATACTAACTTCAGTATAGCAAAAGAGGGAAACATTCACTTTTTGTATATTTACGTAAATACTGGAAAGCTACAAAGAAAAAAAAACTAATAAAAGTGGCTACCTGAGATGGAAAAGGGAAGGAAAAAGGAAAATCAGGATGGATGGGGGCCAAAGTCAGAGCACAATTTTTAAAGATCTATATTTCATATTGTCTTAAACTATGTGAATGTATTACCTACTCGAAAAGATGATAAGATGTAACTATTTCACAACTCATAGCTTCATTGGGTAGCTAAAAAAAATTGAGGACAATCAGAATTTGAAATTTTATATAAACCTTTAATAATGCGAATGATAATCTTCCTAAAGGGATCATAAAAGATTTCACAAATTCTAGGAGAGTCTCTCTTTTGCGTCTTGAGAAGGCAGGATAACATAAGCTGCCAACCCTGATGGATTCTGACAACGACAGAATTGCTAAAACTTTATATTCATTATCTCACATATTCATCCCAACAACTTCATTTTAGAGATGAAGAAAATGGAATTCCCATGATGGAAATATCTGTCTAGACACACTGCAGACAAGTGGCAGTATCTCAACTCTGTCTCATCTCTGTCTGACTCAAATTCTTTACTATCATTAGACTGGTGGGAAAGGCTCAAGCTGAAAGGGCTTTTTTTCTTTCCCCTGATTTTTCAATGTTAAAAGCCCCCTTATCTCGTATTGCCATACATCCAAGACAACCCTAGAAACGTCTGGTTTAACCAAAGAATGTTTGTATAAATTGTATAAGGTTCCAAGTGGCCTAGTTGTCAGGCCCTCCCTCATCAAATTTCTACTCTTACGTGGAAGTTTCAGAGGTAACCAATTTTTAGAAAGACACAGGTTCCTATGAATTTGGGACTTTGTCTGACGTTATAATAAAAGCCTATAAAATACCATTCTCATACCCTACCTCTGTGTCCCTCACGTGTCCCAAAGCTCTCTATATCCAGTAGTTTTCCTAAAATATAGGAGATCCTGGCAGTCTACATTGATCTTTTTTTATAACCCCATAGTCCATTCATTTCACTTATTTATGAGACTGTCGTTTCAATGCACAATTCTCCAGCATAAATATTTATCATCTGTCTCCAAGTGAGAAAACAAATTAAGAATATAAATTTTCTCTTAAAAATCTTAAAGCTAAAATTAAAATCAGGAATTCTGGAAAAACAAATTGTGTATTTTTCTAATTAAGTAGTCGTATTATATAACTATTACATATACTGTTTTTTAATTCCAGAGGTTCTACTGCAATCATATCTACCCTGGGTTCACTTTTGAACTAAATGATCTCTCAGGTTCCTGCTATCTGTAAGATCCTACAATTCTAAACACATCAAATACATCAACTCACATATGTCCACTTTTCGGCACATGTCCCCTTATTTATTACCCCCATTTTACAGATTAGGAAACCAAGGTACAGAAGTTGTAAGAGGCTTTTCCGAGGTTATATAGTTAGGAAGCAGCAGAGATAGGACTGACATTTGGATTTTATGCTTTCACTGCCTGTAAACACAAAAGATGGAAAGTGTAGGTGAGCAGTAAGAGCTGAGATAAAAGTAGAAGCAAGCAGGGAAAAAAACCTTGAGGGAAATAGCAACATTTGGGTTAGATGCACATAAACCCACTGTATTATATCTTCGAATAATGTCAAGAACATCCAGCCAGTGTTGATTCAACTGGGCTTTAAATGTTGTTGAAACAGATACACATTTAATGCAATTTGCTTAAAAATGATGCTAGCATTCATACCTATTTATGACTTCAAGGCGTTATATTCTACTTTCATTTGTGTTTTGAGGAGAGTGTGATTTTAACTGTTGTGTGATAGAGTTCTATTATATGCTTTAAAAAGAAAGAGGAAAGAAATTTTTTAAACTTGATTTTCAATAAGCACGACAAATAAAACTATAACTGGAAGGTAGAAATAAAATAAAGCAAAAAGCTTTGTAAGTTAGGTGCCACACTACAAAATGTACCTCCCAGAGGAAAATATCACTAAACAAGGTCTAGTTATTTGAAAAGACACATGAATAAAATAATTCTCACTAACAAACACAACCTATTTCGTATAGTTTTATTTAAATAGATGTATCTAAGACTAATATACATTTGGGCTTCTTTTGCTTGTTTTCTATATAGTACACTTCGTTTTTTGAGTTTAATCATCACCTAGAGGCTGTGATGGACAGAGCATACATCTACAGGTCAGTATAACTCAGTATCCTGGGTGGAGGGGAAAAAGCAATGGTACATTTTAGATAGCATTTGGTAGGAACATGACCTCCCTGTTAAAGAAAAGGAGATAATTTCAGATTTCGGCTATATAAAACATAGGAGTTTGATCTAAAACAGATTTGCATTATTTTAAGAGAAATAAAAGTATGAAAATCATAACAGATTTTTAGAAGAGTATTAGACTAAAACATAGGACTTCCTACCTGCTTCAGTCAAGACAAGTACAAAAAAAAAACATGCTCTTTGGAGAGTTGCCTTTTTCTCTCTCATAACAATCCATCTCTAATCTCAATTTCATTCATTTGCTGATCTGAACATCACTTGCCCAGACACCTCCAGTCACAGTTCATCATAGTCACTTGGCCAGATACCTCCAGTGACAGTTCATCATAGCATAAAGTCCCACCAGCTTTTCAGAGAAGTTGAGTTAAATCAGCATGGCATATCTCATAGGACTCAAAATGGAGAGGTGACTTGTGAGGCATGTCTTTCACGGAGTTGACTCATACCATCTGTGAAAAGAAAGGAAGTTTTGGGTTTTTTTTCCACTCTGTCAGTCCCATTCAAGACACTGCAGTCAGGAAACACGCAGGGCCACCGTCACGTTCTATTGTACTAATGAGAGTTAACAGTTCACAAATCCAAAGCAAGGAACTTCAACAGAGTCTTTAAGGAAAAGAAAATGTTAAAATAGGCTGTATTCTAGAAACAACACGAACCCTCGTTTTGCCTCTATTCTTTCCAACAGAGTCTTCCGAACAACTGGATACTTGCTGTTTACTCTGCACATTAATGCCTGTATTTATTACTGGGCTTCAAACTATGAAGGAATTGGGACTACGAGATGGGTGTATAATGGTGAAGGAAATAAGTAAGTTCTCATTTTGAAAGAAACGTTTTCTGATTCTTCTTAACTTGCTGTTCAGTATATGAATTTTCTTAAGCCAATGTTTTTGAAACTATAGGACACAAACCCATTCATGGGCTATAAAACTTCTTTGGTAAGTCAGTACGTTTTTATTTGAAACAGGGTAGAGGAAAATCAAATAGAAAATATCAGAGTCTGTCTGATAGGGTGTGTGTATGTGCGCACGCGCTTAATCTGGTTTGGCCTATGAGATGCATTTCCTATACTGGATAATGATCAAAAAAGTTTGAAAGCCGCTACTTGAGACAAGAGAGCAGTAAGGTAACTTTTAATAACTCCGATGCTGATTGTTAGTAATGAACAATGTTAATCATTTAGAGGGCAGGTGCAGTGGCTAATTAGTTTACCACTGAAGGGTTTTATGGGTTTATGAGTCAGCTATAACCACTAACTCAATTAAACACTTAGAGAGTAACGAGGATCATAAATTAAACTTGACAATTAGGTATGCAAGTGTCCCAGGAATAAAAGAGATCATTTGAAAAATTTAGAGCAGTAGAAGCACAACTCAGTAATGGCAAGTGGGCTGTTTAATAGTGAAATTTCCTTTTGGTAAATACAAGGACTTGCCATTAAGTTGACTCCACTAACTTTCTGCTCCGATGAAATGACATTGAACATGTAATAAGGCAATGTCCTTACTGGGAAAAACAAGGTCCAGCATTACTTTGAAAAGCAACTCACTGCAGCCTTGGGATGGAGAGCAATTATAGGATAGAGCAAAAAGAGTGAAAATAACTTTCAAAATGACACACTACCTACAGTGAGTGGAATGTGTTTAAGGGCTAATCACCACACTTTTTGAACCGTTAACCAGAACTGATTTTAAAGAACTTAAGGCCAGAAGATCCACTGATTGGGACAGACACACATACACACACAAAATCAATTTCCAGAGAGTTTATAACCAAAGCTTTGATTTAATAATGCTCTTTAGAATATGAATTAAATGAGCATTTATATTTGTTATAATATAAGTGATTTGTATAAAAATTAGTAAGATACCAACTACAAAGGGTGCAAAAAAATGTACACACATTTTAAGAAAAGAAAGAACTGTATTAAAAATGTAATACTCAAGTCACATTTGACTTCTGTAATTAAAAGCAATGCAAGATAGCAAATGTTATTGGTATGTATTGAGTATTACAATTTTAATAGAGTTTTTTTCCTTTCTTAAAATGTATATACATTTTTTGGCATCCTCTGTATGTTAAATATGACTTAAAAGTCAGTATGTAATCTAGCACCTTTAGGCACCTGTGTCTGATGGCTGATTTTTGTCAAATTAGCAAAAGAAAAAATATATATATATATACACATATATATGCACACCACACACACACACATATACGCACATATATATATAGTTGCATCAGGATACTTTCCAGAGAAGATGGAGGAAGCTTCATTTCTCTTCACACCTGGTGCCGCTCTGCTGAGTTTCTAGGAATCATATCTTGTTCCCTGTGCCTAACATGGTGTTGTTAAGTATCTAACAGACAGTATGTGTTGGGTAGTTGATGGAGGCAGGAAGGAAGAGAGAGAGGGTGTAAGAATAGAAGGAAAGAAGAGCTAAATCCGCACTGGAATAAGAAATTGGAGCTTCAACCCATAAGAAACTTCAAGTGCGCTGGTGCTTTAGATTTCTAATTCCAGCTATCAGAAGTACTCCCTCTAGTATCTCAGGAATGGAAGAAAAAGTATCCAATGTACACAGCCCTACTTTGAAACTAATTCATAGCTTTTATAGGAATGTCCTAACCTTAGAATATGGGAAGGGGGTGGGAGAGGGGAGGTGAGGGGGGTCGCTGGGGGGAAGGAGGGTGATTGATGGGGTCACCTCTTTGGTTTATCTTACAAGGGTACAAGTGAATCTTTCTAAAAGCAGAGTATGAATGTCTTAATAACTAAGAAAATGACATGAAGGTTATGTTAACCAGTTTGATGAGAGTATTTCAAAATGTATATGAAAACAGCACACTGTACTGTTATGATGTACAGCACACTGTACTGTTATGATGGCATTAATGTACATAGTTTACTATAAGAAATAATTAGAAAAAAAAAGAAGTACTCCCTCTAAAATACAAGGTAAATCACCTGTTTTAGTTTTTGTTGTTAAGTTACATGTTGTAATTGGTTGTTATAAATAAATTTCTAGGTAAATACAATCACAACAGTTTTCGACGTTTGCCGAATTCTCCAGAACGTAAGAAACGTATCCAAAGGCTGACAAACAAAGTGTGCGCTAAGAGGGGAGCAGAGCACGGAGTGGGAGTGAGGGGCCAGCTAAAGAACAGAATAGGGAGGATACCTTCCTCATCAGTGGAAGAAAAGAAATAAGAAGATTAAAAAAGAAAGCTACCAATATAAAAAATATAGACAAGCATAAAGAAAGGCAGTTGTGTGGAGGAGTAAAGGAAAGGCAGGATGTGGAAAGTACAAAGTCAGGTGGTTAGAACAATTGAAAATATATCCCTGTGCTCAGTAATTAACAGGGACATTTCATAGCCTTGCCATCACACCAACGCACATTCTCTAAGGATGAACGTAATTACCCCATCATTTCTGCTCTGGTCATTTGAACAGAAATTCACACTCAAGAGCAAAATTCCGAGAATCCTGTTAACCGACTGTCAGGGACACAGGTTCCCATTCTGGCAAAGAAAATGCTTTTAAAAACAGCCTTTTGACTTATTTTTAAGATAATTTGCATATGGCAGTTACTAACACCCTGACATTTTCCTAACAGCTTTCAGACATCAACTTCTTCCATATTACCCTTTGACCGAGCAAGCCAAGTTTATGAAATAATTACATAAAGCCTTTTTTAGCTTAACCCCGCGAGGGTTCTGATGACCTGTGAATTGAAGGTTGTAGTGAAGGAGGCCACTGGATTTGTTAACTTTGCCCCAGGGTAGAATTAGGCAGCAGATTGTGTGGCGTAAGTGGAGCATTGTGAACACTTAAAACAAGAGCCAAGTTTATTATAATTCCATTAATTATCATCCAAACAACAACGTCTATTCATTTCAATCAAAGCCATTTTCATTTATATTGAGTGAACGGTATCCTTCCTTAGATTGTAAAATTTGACAAAGAATGCAAATGTTTAGCTCAAAGGGAGAACACAAATAAGAAGTTAAGCTGGCTCGGCGCCTATAGCTCAACCGGCTAAGGCGCCAGCCACGTACACCTAAGGTGGCGGGTTCGAATCCCCAGCCCGGACCCGCCAAACAACAATGACGGCTGCAACCAAAAAATAGCCGGGCGTTGTGGCGGGCGCCTGTAGTCCCAGCTACTTGGGAGGCGGAGGCAGGAGACTCGCTTGAGCCCAGGAGTTGGAGGTTGCTGTGAGCTGTAATGCCACGGCACGCTACCCAGGGGGAGAGCTTGAGGCTCTGTCTCAAAAAAAAAAAAAAAAAAAAAAAAAAAGAAGTTAAGCTTATATAATACTCAAAAATGTCCCTAAGGTACTTTTGTCCACATATACATCCCAATCTTATTTATTTTCTGATATAAATTTGCCAATGTGCACAAAACTCTTAACGAATCTATGGTCCCAAACCCTAATGCATCTTTTCCTTGAAGGAAGGGGAAAAGAAGGGAGCAAGTCTGTGGTAGGAATCATCGACTTTAGTCAGAATAGGGAAGGAATCAAAATTCCTATACCATAGTGCTAAGGAAATGCAGGCAATCTACCACCTTCATGTTACAGATGACAATGATGAGACCTAGATAGATGAAGATATTTGCGGGAGAATAAATTCCAGCTGTCTTTTATGAAATAATATTAATGATTGTGGAGAAATGTGTAACCACTGCAATTCTCGTTATGTTGAACCTTGTCCTTGTTTGCTTGCTATGTGCCTGTGACTGAGGTAAAATAAAACCTCGCAAGACATAACTTACATGTGTGGGAAACACGTAACAAAGACATCTCAAGATATGCAGAGGGAACAGGATGTCCAGGGCAGCAGCAGAAATTTCTGACTAGTGACACTACTGAGGCCTCTGTAACTGTAACAAAGTTGCAGTCACTTGCACAATGAGGAATAAGGCAGTGTCAGCAGTGACAGTTACGGCCATGTGCACAACAAATTAACCGCTTAGCTAAGCAGACATATCTAAGGCAGATACCAATAAGCCCAATAATCAGCAGATGTCAAAGCATGAATCTCCCATCCTATGATGCATCAATCCAGAAAAACGGTCCTGTCTGCCCATCGTGCACATCCTGCTGCACACTGTGACATTTTCGTAACTTTTTCCTCCTAATTTTTTCCTTATACTGCTCTGTTTGAATCTCAATAAATATCCATTGGAACCTGGAATCAGGGCCACACTTTGACAGCATCTGCCCCTCCCCAAGACCCTCAGCTGTATGGTTGTATTAACCCAAGCATCTGCATCTTTTCTCTGTGGTGTTCCCAGAAATGTAGAGGCTCCACCCCACTAGTTGTCTCCTCAGATATTTATTCAGGATCCCCTGAGGTCAGACACTGCTGAGAGAGAGAGCTCGCACACACATGAGCACAACACATATTAGTAAGTTCCTAGTATGCACTAGTAAGTCCACAAATACCTATCCCTATAGCACTTACATTCTAAGACATTGTCCCTCATCACCAGTGCTTCCAGTAATAAGTTTATAGAAACCCGGAACTAAGGCTTGGCGCCTATGGCTCAAGTGGCTAAGGCACCAGTCACATACACCTAAGGTGGCAGGTTCAAATCCAGCCCAGGCCCACCAAATAACAATGACAGCTGCAACCAAAAAAATAGCCAGGCATTGTAGCAGGCTCCTGTAGTCCCAGGTACTTGGGAGGCAGAGGTGGGAGACTAGCTTGAGCCCAGGAGTTGGAGGTTGCTGTGAGCTGTGATGCCACAGCACTCTACCCAGGGCAACAGCTTGAGGCTCTGTCTCAAAAAAAAAAAAA